AACCTCTTGGTGTGGGAATTGACATATAAGAGCAACATGGGCTCTTAACCAGCAGGCCATCTCTCTCACCCCCAAAACCAAGATTTTTGCTTTGTATTTATAGGTTAAGGTTCAAATAGAAGCAAGAAATTAAGAACTTTAATCATATTTATTGTATCAGCCTTTTTTTCTATTGCACTATGATTGTCGAGACTCATTTTTTAACCACAAAACTTAACTTATTCTGACAGTACACTTACCTAAAATTAAAGTCATAAAACTGTTGACTTTTAACAATGTGTTAGATTTTAAGAAAAAATTAAAGGGTGTTAGGTTTTATCTAGGGAGCTAATATTTTTAGGGCACTGATTTGGCGATATGAAGGGTAAGAGGCTGGGTGGGGATGGAGAACAATCTAATGGCCATTACCCCAGCTGCCAGCTCCTCCTGCCAGGCCCCTGCCCATCTGACTGGGATTGTTTGGGCTTTGCTGATCACACACACACACACCTTTGTCATCCCCTCTGAATTTTATGGGAGACATAGAAATTTATTATGTCACGTGGTTATGGTGAACTGTTAGCGAGGAACATGAGAATCTTGACTTTGAGCTGGGAGTGATGGCTTGCACAGCTACACCATGGGGAGCCTGGGGCTGGGCATTCACTTGAAGCCAGTGTGGGCTCCGTACACCAACTCAGAAGAAAAGAGAGTAATCCTGTCTTCTAAAGACATCAGCTGCCTCTATTTCTTATAGTGTGATATAATACATAAATCATGAGTATCACACAGGTGGAGGGGTGATGGGAGGCTGAGATGGTAAAGTAATTGCCACACATGAGGATCTAAGCTCAGTCCCCGTAACCTCAAAAAGAAACAATGCAGCATGGTAGAGTGCGGTTATAATTCTAGCTCTGGTAAGGGTGAAACAGACAGATTCCTGTGGCTTACTTCTCAGCCAGCCTAGGGACTTGAGTAAACCCCAGACCAACAAGAGATCTTGTCTCGAAACAATCAAACAGGAACCAAAATAGATCCAAGAACATGGCTCCTGAGGACACCTGTAGTTGGCCTGTGACCTCTATAGATACACATGTACCCCCTGGACATGTACTCACGGACAAACATACATGTAAACACTAAAGTCCTAGCAAAGATTTCTTCCTTGTATAAATAAGAGTTCGAACTCCTTGGTACATTGACCTCAAAACTGGTGGGCCCGACATTTGATTTCACTTAAGCCCTTTCTGAACCGTTTCTTCAGAGAAGAGCTCTGAGCACAGGGTTTGCAGGGTTAGCCAGTGTCTTGAACAACCTTACAGAAAAGCTATCCCATCCACATTCCATGTGATAATGAGCCCTCGTGCCTGCCTTCCGTGGCTTAGACCTCGGGTCCTACAGCTGCCATCTCTTAACTACCGAGGAAACTTGCACCTGCGCTCCGTAAGGTCCGCCTGGCTTCTATGACGCTACACAAAGAGACCTTGGCCCTGGCTGGGACAAGAGGGAGCAAGTGAGGCCGATAGTAAACGGACACGATTGTTCACAGTGATGTGGGCATCGCGTCGGCTTTTGCGGCTAAAGGCGGTGATGCTGATCCCGTCTTCACTGAAAATACATCACACTTCTCACAAACCACACTCAGGCTTTATCTTGGCTTCTTGATTTTTTTTTTCATATTTTACGTTACTATTTTATTTTTGTCGTGTTGTATGTGAATTGGTGTTTGCTGGTATGTATGTGTGCTAAAAGGTGCACTCAGGGCCTAGCATGCACAAGGCCCTGGGTTCTAACCCTGGGTAACATACAAGGTTAAAAAGTCATTAAAACTTTTGAAGTCATATTTCATTTATGTGTAAAGTGCAAATGCTTTATAAATCCTCCCCCCGAAATTGTCTGTGCTACCACAGTAGTTCTGAGAGTGTAACAAATACCCCAGCCCCCTTCTACTCTGCTCTGTTATAATCGGTCTCCATTGTTAATGTCTAGAGAAATATTATGCATCCCTGTCCATAGTCTGTTTTCAATATACGAATGACCACACACTAGCAGGCACCCTTGTTTTTACATAGCTGCGCACTGTGGATACGTTCCCATCAGCATCTGACAGCCTTGCCTTCATCTTTTACTCCCCATGGGCCTCATCACTCAGGCATCCAACATTGGCCAGTCCTCAGTGAAGAACTCCTTACTTCCAGGCTCTTGATTTTAGAATGACATTGCTGGAAATAGATTTGCCCATAAATCTTCCTTTTAATCGTTATTTTTCCGCATCATTTTTTCATTTTATTTAAAAAAATTGATGCATTATAAAAATGAAGAAAGCATGGTGTGAGGCGCCATCAAATATAGTTCCATCACGAGACCGTCTGTGGGTTCCACTTGGAGCCTTATTTGTGGGTTTTAAAATAGCTATAAGACACACACACTTTATTTGTGCATATCTTGATATGTGTTTTCTGAGGTGGGAGTGTTTGTTTTATACATCATCGTTGTCTGTACTTCATCAGTATCTGGTCTTCTTCTCATCTTTCAAGCTGCCTGATCATAGTCTAAACTGTTTACTCCAGTCTGGAATCAGGGTCTTTTTAAGGAAGTAGGGTATGAGGTGAAGTCCCTGTCTCTTGTGGACTGCTCTAGACGAGTATGTCGTGACAGATTAAGAATCAAGAAAATAAGCCAAGAGGTCTGTGGCTGTAGTAGGGATGCAGGGCTATAAAGGATGTTGGTGGGTCCATGCTATTCAAGCGCCATGCTCTGGGGGTACCGTGCAGAGGGAGGAGGAAGCCAGGATATCCAGGGTGTCCCTGAGGAGGAATCTGCAAAGTCCGGGACAGTATCTTATGGGGTAGCCACATCAGGACCCATGTGGATGGCTCTCCAGTAAGAGGCTGACCTTCCACTGAGGGTAGCCCCGTGCTGCTTGCTACCGGGATGGCTTGGTGACTGTTCCGGCTCTGCTGGGTGGTTGTGACTCATTCTGTGTGTCCAGGCCTAGGACACAAGGGATGGAGATCCTGGACTGGACCGAGTGTCATTAAAGGTGCACTGTGCCCTCCATCAGCTGTGATAATCCTGTCTGCTTCCCCAGAAGGGACGTTATGGAAATGAAATCAAATCAGAGAATCTATTACTCTAGTAGTGACAAAAATGTGAAATGACCAATATAAATATATAAATAACCAATGTTAAATATATAATATCCACGTGACAAAACTTTAACATGCTCCCGAGGGACCAAAAGTACAGCTCAGGTAAAAGTGGTGCTGGACTGTTTGTGAACAGGAACTTTTGGCATGGTGGGAAATGTCCACTATCACTTAAGCTGCAGTTTGAATATGACTTGATAAAAATGGCAATACTTTTTAGGGGGCATGGAGAAAACTTGGTGAGTTGATTTAAGAAAGGATTTTGAAAAAGAGAGTAAGCAAGGTTTAGAAAATGAACAGGGAGGCAGAATAAATCAGGAAACAGACTCATACTTATGAAGCTAATGTGAAAAGTAGTATAGCACACAAATAAGCTAAATTATCACAGTCACAAACAAATGCATTCATTAATGACAAAAGTCACCTCTCAAATCAATGGGGAAAACTAGGTAAACTTCGGGGGTCTTGAATTCATAGTGTATGGCTTTGTACAGGATAAATCTGAAAAATGTTTAAGATTTACATGCAAAAAATGTGATATATTATAAAGCATTAACAGAAAAGGTGTTTTTCAAGGTCTTACTGCTATAGTGACATAAGAAATCTACTCGTGAAAACCCACTTTTGTAAAGTCAAAAATCAAGTAATGAATTGATGAAAGGCATTTCCAACCTGTGTCACCAGTAACTTAGTCACCTAAAATAATAGTTCCTGTGGGCCAATAGGAAAACGGATCAATAATTGAGTAAAATCGGCACAGTACCCACAGCTCATACGAAAGGATATGCACAACTTAAATATGAAGTATTTAATAAGAGAAGATACAAATTGCATAATAATAAGTATAGATCACTATCACAAAGGGATTCTTTTCCATTTTCCTTTTCATTTATTATGAGATTGTCCAGGGCATGGGAAAGACACTTTTTATATACTACCAATGAGAAGCAAGTCTATAGTCTTTATAAATGAAATCCGGCAGTTCCTGAACATGCTATAGTCTATAACTCAGTACTCTCGTTTCTTCTGCTTGCATAAAGATATGTATCCTGTTCCAGCCTTCAGTTCACATCTCCTCTGCCCCAGCTTCCAGGGTGTGGGAGCTACAAGCGTGCACTGAGAAACCCAGCTGTAGAAGTTTATTTCTAAATGTGTTGTATGTGCATCCGTGTAAAATCATGTAGGAATGAATATTTTAAAAGCCGTGTGGAGGCAGAAGCTTTTATAATCAGCCATGTAGCACATAAGTAGACCTATAAGAAATAAACCAGGAAGTGCTCTGTGCACCTGGGAGGCTGAGGCAGGAGGATCACTGAGTGTTTCAGGCCAGCCTGGTCTACAGAGTGAGCCCTGTGTCATGGAACGGAACCAAACCATTTGTGAATACTGCCTAGCCAGACAATGTACTTTTCTTATGGATCACTTAGGAGCAGACAGAACAGATGTATGAGAGATGTATAACGTTTTTCTGGTGTTTGCACAGAAGGGGATAGATAGGCAACCCTATTGTGGATGAATTAACAAATGTTAACACGTATCTAAAAACCAAGCATAGCCATTGCCTCTAGGGAAAAAGCGAGGCAGAGGGCATGGATGTAGACTTTCCAGTGCGTTCAGTGCGGTCCAGTGACTTTGGACCGTGTCTGCCCTGCTCATAGTATAAACGGGCTGGAGAGAAGGCTCGCAGCTTAGAGGGCTTTCTTTTATTGATGTCTTTAGACGAGGTGGGAGGAGACGGCTGTTTATTAAGTCTGGATGGCTTATCTGGGAAGAAGCGACCCAGAAGGTCCTCACCAGGGAGATGGAGAGGGACTTAGGGTTTGGAGGGCAGTGGTGACAGCCTCTGATCATCCTCTTTCCTCCCCATCCTAGCTGAGCTACCAAGGACCTCTGCTGTGAGGTTAACCTCTCTACGGGACCTGCCCACCCAGCTCCTGGAGCTGTACCAGCAAGGTTTCTCATTGGCTGCCCTGCACCCCTTCGTGCAGCCAACCAACAGGCAAGAGAAGCTACTCCTGGAGCACATCTTTAGGGCCATCCTGGTCAAGAAAACCAGCAGGTAAGGACGCAGCACTTGTTAGCGCCATGGAGACTAAGACATCTGAATACAGAGGGAGGGAGGGAGGATGGGAAGGGTTTGTACGTCAACCCTGGGGCCCTGCCTTCTGCCAGGTAAGCTGGAAAAACAAATGCCATGTCTGAATTCAAGTACAGATCAAGTTCCTGTCCCCTCCTCTACTTTGTGGGTGAAACTCAGCTAGAACACTGTCTTCTCTGCAGAAGCATCCTCCCAAAGTCATGCAGACAGTACAGATGTAATAAAGCCATTAATCTGGAAAGCCACGGTTGGAAACAACATTTTATTCCAGGCTTTATAGAGGCTCAGTGTTTCCCTCCCAAGTTTAGAGATACTTCAAAAATTAGAATTCATCAGAAGTTCTGTCAATTACCTCTGAAGAACACCTATTCTCTCCCACCCCACCCCACCCCACACCCCCATCTCCCACCCCACCCCACCCCCACCTCCATCTCCCACCCCACCCCCATCCCCCACCCCACCCCATCCCCCACCCCACCCCATCTCCCACCCCACCCCACCCCCACCCCACCCCACCCCCATCTCCCACCCCACCCCATCTCCCACCCCACCCCACCCCCCACCCCACCCCACCCCCACCCCACCCCACCTCCATCTCCCACCCCACCCCCACCCCACACCCCACCCCACCCCCACCCCCACCCCCCATCCCCCACCCCCACCCCCATCTCCCACCCCACCCCCCTACCCCACCCCACCCCACCCCACCCCCATCCCCCACCCCACCCCATCTCCCACCCCACCCCACCCCCACCCCACCCCACCCCCACCCCACCCCACCTCCATCTCCCACCCCACCCCCACCCCACACCCCACCCCACCCCACCCCCACCCCCATCCCCCACCCCACCCCCATCTCCCACCCCACCCCACCCCCACCCCCACCTCACACCCCACCCCACAGCCCCGCCCACACCCCCTCTCCCACCCCACCCCACCCCACACCCCACACCCTGCGCTGTCATTGGACTGGCCCTGATTTTAACTTCGCAGGCATTCTGAGGCTGTTTTCACACTGCTTTGTCCACTTGAGTATTATTTGTACATTTTCACTTGTGCCTGAGTGGGGAAAGAGATGGGTCTAGTCTTTCGAAAGGAGAAATACTCATCTCAAATGCTTAAAAAACAGTGATAAAAGCAGAAATTACAATGGGTCTGGCGGCTGTTATGAAGATGGAATTTGAAGCTGGGTGTGGTGGGAGACACTGATCTCATCACCTGGAAGGTGAAAGCAGGAAGGTCAGGAGTTAAAGGTCTAGCCTCGGCTGCACGGCGAGTCCCAGGCCAGTCTCTGTTACAAGCGCCTCCAGCTTAGTGAGTGCATAAGTAAATGCACTGACGTTTGAGAGAGGAAAACGGATTTACCCTCTGGCCAGCTGTCTCAGAAGGAATGGACAAGGCTTGTGTTTTAAAGGAAAGGGTCACGTTCATCTTTGTGAAAGCCACTTTGAGGTAGACACCACATTGGCCTCACATAGTCACATGGGGTATGTGTGGGACATGAAGCGGCATGCCAAGATGGACTTCTCTATTTCATAGTGCCTTAGCAGGCTCTGGGCCCTGAGGTGGAGCTTGTTTTTGTGATGGTGCTGGGTCTGGGTCACTGTGTTGTTTGTAAGGCGACACTGTGCACTGTCTGTTTTATACTTAACTGCTTTCTTTGTGTCCATTGGCCATGGATCAATATCTGGTATAATGACATGAGGAAATTATTCTGGGGACCATGGTGGTATTAATTTACACAGCCGTACAGGATATGCATATAATGTCAACAGCTCGTGTTAACTGAGCATTCATTCTGTGTCACATGTGATAACTATAATTTTGTCTGCATCGTTGGCTCATAAAATGGGAACCCTGCCTTGCTCCTAGTTTTGCAGGGTAGAGGCCCAGAGACCATGCAGCCAACCACAGTCCAAGTTGAGAGTGTGTATCAAGCTGCCAGCAACTGCCTGGAAAGAAACTGCTCTCACATAGCAGCCTCAAATGCATTTTACAAGCAAAGAACAAACACGCACCCACACACACATGCACACATGCATGCGCGTGCGCGCACACACTCACACACACACACACACACACACACACACACACTTAGTTGGCAGTTGCAGGGGAAGTAAAGCAAGCAAGCAGTGTAACAGAAGCCGGAAACATGCAGTTAGGTTAGTTGGGGCACTTTGACCCCGAGTTTCTAGAACAGGACAGTCACTTTCAAGGCAAGGGTAGGCAAAGTTGGGACTTTTCACGGTGGTGGAGGGTCGCAAAAGGAGGACAGGACACATTTCAGGTTAAATCAAAGATGGTTCCAACCGAGACAAAATGGAGCTACTTTGCCATGTCACACCAGGCCACCAACTCCCACACTGCATTCTTAGCTCTAGGTGATCTCAGGGGAGGCCGTTTATTCCCCACTGTCCTCCCATTTTACCCATCAGCCTTCAGAGAAAACATTTTGAAAGCAAATAAGACAAAACAGCCTCAGTACATGTTGCACAGGGCAAAGCCAAGGCTCCAGTGCAGGTGTTTGTCAGGCTGGTCTGTCTGTTAGTCTCGGTGTTGAGAGGAGACAGCCCCTGGGGTCAAGTTGTAGGGGCGCCCTCTGTGTGTTCTGTGGTAGGAGGTGGTGCTAGCAGTGGACCTAGATGAAGCATGTATAATACAAACGTACTAACACAAATATGAAGACATGTCTCTTCCTCTTTCTACACCCGGAGTAGCACTCCAGGCTAATTTGTCTGCAGATCTCCTGGGGATACTGTTAAAGAACGTTCTGATTCAGCATGTCTGAAGTCAGGCCTGGAATGCTGCATCTCCAGTGTGGTCCCAAATGATGCTGACACAGCTGCTGCACAGACCACACTTTGAGTAGCAAGGATGGAGAGGACCTGACTCATTCTTATCTGTGACCCACACTGTCATAGTTTTCTGCTCTTCTCTCTGGGGCAGGACCCAAGTCTCCTGGTCAGAGGGCCCATGTCCCAGGTTGCATGTGCTCCCTGGGAAGGGGTGTAGTGCTGGGGAGTACCAGTGGAATTTTCTGAGCCTCCCATTGTATACTTGACGCAGTGAGAAGCTTATAACAGGTGATTTGAAAGGCACGTTCAGTCATACGGTCAGATGGTCTGGGTGACAATGCCACTGTTTAAGAGCAAACCCACTCCCATTTGGTCCCTTACAAGCCAGCCAGAACAGCCAGGGGTTTAGACAGGGAAGAGGAAAATAAAGTTATTAAGATCAAGACGCTGGTGTGTGGGAGCATTTTCCAGAGGAGAGCATGCCAGGATCCCTGGTTGTAGTTCATTCTCTATCCCAGGATGCCCAATCCTCTGTTTCAGTGGCTGCAACACACGGGGTCTCCCTGTTTCCAGGTGTTGGGCAGCAGGAGGTGATGGCTGAGGCTGGGCTGTAAGTTCTCTTAAATGTACTTTTCTCTTCTGGCCAGTGTGGTAACTGTGTTTCTGCATCAGAGACCCCTTACCACACAACTGCAAGCAAGTAAGCAAAAATCCCTGAAGTTCTGTATCAGCAGATAATTGCAGAAAGAACAGAAGAAAGCTTGCATGATTAATTTTTAACATGAACAGATAAAGCAACACTTCTAGCAAAGGCTGCCAGTGTCTGACAGCCATAAATACTGTTAAGTGAAATGATTTAGCTCTAGGAAATGGAGTGAGTGCCTAGTTAATATTTCCCAAGTAGGGCACACTGACAGATTTAGGAAAGCTCTCTGCTTTTCTCTGCATCCAAATGAAGTATACTGGCAAAAACACCACAGAACGACTACTTGAAGGTAAACCTGAAGCATTTGAGAAGTGAACACAAAGTTTTTGGCAACTAACTGGATTTTGGGGTATGCAACAATATAAATAAAACAAACAAAAACCTAGGTAACTCAAGCTTATATCTATCCGCCCACCCATCCATCCATCCATCCGCCCATCCGTCCTTCCTCCATCCATTCTTTCCATCCCCACCCCCTAACCATCCACAAACACCTACTAAGGTTGTAAGAATACCATAAGTGTCCTTTATTTCTAGACCATCATGACAAACACACAGTAATTTTTCTTTGTTTCCCAGTGTATATATATACAGTAGCTATCTGTACATTGTACTGTATTTTCATTAAGTATGTAGTAGCATTATTTTTTAAATGTACACACCTCAATTTAAAAAGTAGTTTATTGCTAAACAACGCTAATGATTATATGAGCTGTTAGGAAAATGATGTCAGTAGACAGGCTCAGTATAGTTGCCACAAGCCTCTGGATTTGTAAAACATGGATTACCTACAAAGCACAATATAAGGAGAGTCCCGGGGTCTTCTTAAGACATTGGTCCAGGTGGGGGAGTAGAGGACTCAGTTGGATGTAGCATCTGCTTTCCAGGAACCAACTGTCTGGTTGAGGAATTTCTCATGAGGTATCTGTCATGTCACCCTCCTACTGGAGGAGAAGTTATATTTTAACCTGGCTCTTACTCTCTTAGATGTCTTTAAATTGTCATTATATTTGTATGCACATCTGTGAAGTTGTACATGTGGATGCCAGAAGACGGCTCGAAGGAGTTGGTTCTCTCCTTCCGCCATGTGGGTCCCAGAGCTCAAACTCAAGCAGTGATGCTTGGCAGGTTTTCCCTTCTGAGCCATCTTGCTGGGTGCTGGGTGCTGGGTGCTGGGCGCTGGGTGCTGGGCGCTGGGTGCTGGGTGCTGGGTGCTGGGCACTGGGCCTTGCTTCTTTTGGGCACACGTAGGAATACTGACCACGAGATGGGAAGAGTTTATGTAAGTCTTAGAAGGAAATGCTCTGCAGTGCTCTTTGGGTAACTGGAGAAAATCATTACTGAGTCCCCCCAAAAGCAGCACGCAGCACTCTGAAGCCAGACATTTGACCAGTTTCATGAAATCCACAATATACTATCAGGTCTTTTCATTTGTAATCATGTTAATGGCCATTCCATTT